AACCTGATCGGAGCATCCCAAGTAACTTGCACAACAAGATTAACCGGATTCATTAGAAATGATGGCCAGAGAGGTAAAGAAAAACTGCTTTGGTAATAAGTAAAACAAGTCTGAGTGAAGTTTGGGAATATTTTTAGAAAAGTGATAGGTGGTATCTAAATTAAGATAAGGTAAATACATTTTAGGCACGCTTAAAATTAGATTGCAGTACACAATGACAGCTTTAGAGAAAGAGCACAATGGTAGCACTGAGAATAGATTCAACACCTGTTAGCTCCCCTTGCAGGAAAATGGCCATCTTCTCAAACATGTCAGAGCACAGCTCGTTGATATCTGGCTCTGCGGGCTCCACAGCCTCCTCTGCGGTCTCCACACCTCCATCGCCTGGGCACAACGATTTGAAGCAGAACTAAATTATTAGGATGAAACCACGACTGCAATGCAATAAATCATCAATCAACAATCAGATAAAAGCTATATATATATATATATATATATATATATATATATATATATATTTGTTTACTGTGTGCTCTATTGTCATTTGGGTGCTAAGAAAATGCAAGGAAAGCACCACGTACTGTTTGCTCCAGGTTTCTTTGGCGCACTCGACGGGGCTTCCGGTGGATCGTCGGGGTGTTCAGCCGCAGCCGTGCCGCTAGCAGCTGCGATTAACCCCGCCGAAACGGCTGCTGGCTCCCTGGAAATACTGTCCATAGCTGCGGCTTCATCTCCAGTTGCAGCCATTTTGTTCCTGTTTTGTTTCGTTCATTATCACGTGAGCCCGGCGATCACGTGATGCACTCGCGGCGCGGCACAGCGACCAACGCCACCAGACCGCCCCTACTCACGCGCAATGCCACGCCCTTCTTTGTAAAACGTAAAATCACTGTTCTGGTTTTGCTCTAGAAGGGATTTTTGAAAGCGTAGTGTTTATTAAACTTTTAAACAACTTTTTTTTTTTTTTTTTTTTTTTTTAAAAAAAAAAAGAAAGAGAAATGACTTGCATT